AGTTTTATTAATCTTTACTATTCTTTCTTTCATTTCTTTTTCATTTCTTTCTGCTTGGATCTTTATGATTTCTTTCCTTCTACTAATTTTGGGCATTTTTTTGTTCATCTTTTTCCAGTTGCTTTAGGTGTAAAGTTAGGTTGTCAGTTCAATGTTTTTCTTGTTTCTTGTGGTAGGGTTGTATTGCTATTAAATTCCCTCTTAGAACTGCTTTTGGTGCATCCCGTAGGTTTTGAGTTGTTGTGTTTTCATTGTCATTTGTTCCTAGAAATTTTTTTATTTCCCTTTTTATTTCTTCAGTAACCTGTTGGTTATTTAGAAATATGTTTTTTAATCTCCATGTGTTTGTGTTTCTTACAGTTTTTTTCTTGTAATTGATATCTAGTCTCATAGTGTTGTGGTCAGTGAAGATGCTTGATATGATTTCAGTTTTCTTAAATTTACTGAAGTTTGGTTTGTGACCCAAGATGTTGTCTATCCTGGTGAATGTCCCATGTGCACTTGAGAAGAAGGTATATTCTTTTTTTTTTCTTTTTTTCTCTTTTTTCATTTATTTTTATTAGTTGGAGGCTAATTACTTTACGATATTGTAATGGTTTTTGCCATATATTGACACGAATCAGCCATGGATTTACATGTGTTCCCCATCCCGATCCCCCCTCCCACCTCCCTCCCCATCCCATCCCTCTGGGTCTTCCCAGTGCACCAGCCCTGAGCACTTGTCTCATGCATCCAACCTGGGCTGGTGGTCTGTTTCACCCTTGATAGTATACTTGTTTCAATGCTGTTCTGTCTGAACATCACACCCTCGCCTTCTCCCACTGAGTCCAAAAGTCTGTTCTGTACATCTGTGTCTCTTTTTCTGTTTTGCATATTGGGTTATTGTTACCATCTTTTTAAATTCCATATATATGCATTAGTATACTGTATTGGTCTTTATCTTTCTGGCTTACTTCACTCTGTATAATGGGCTCCAGTTTCATCCATCTCATTAGAACTGATTCAAATGAATTCTTTTTAATGGCTGAGTAATATTCCATTGTGTATATGTACCACAGCTTCCTTATTCACTCGTCTGCTGATGGGCATCTAGGTTGCTTCCATGTCCTGGCAATTATAAACAGTGCTGTGATGAACATTGGGGTGCACATGTCTCTTTCAGATCTAGTTTCCTCAGTGTGTATGCCCAGGAGTGGGATTGCTGGGTCATATGGCAGTTCTATTTCCATTTTTTTAAGGAAGCTCCACAGTGTTCTCCATAGTGGCTGTACTAGTTTGCATTCCCACCAACAGTGTAAGAGGGTTCCCTTTTCTCCACACCCTCTCCAGCATTTATTGCTCGTAGACTTTTGGATAGCAGCCATTCTCACTGGCATGTAATGGTACCTCGTTGTGGTTTTGATTTGCATTTCTCTGATAATGAGTGATGTTGAGCATCTTTTCATGTGTTTGTTAGCCATCTGGATATTCTTTTGCATTTGGATGGAATGTCCTGAAGTTATCAATGAGATCCATCTCATCTAATGTATCATTTAAGACTTTGTGTTTCCTTATTAATTTTCTGTTTGATGAACTGTCCATTCGTATGAGTAAGGTGTTAAAGCTTCCTACTATTATTGTGTTACTGTCAGTTTCTCCTTTGATGTCTGTTAGTATTTGTCTTATGTATTGAGGTGCTCCTATGTTGGGTGCATAGGTATTTATAATTGCTATGTCTTCCTCTTGGATTGATCCCTTAATCATTATGTACTGTCCTTCCTTATCTCTTGTAATCTTCTTTATTTTAAGGTCTATTTTGTCTGATATGATGATTGCTACTCCAGGTTTCTTTTGCTTCCAATTTGCATGCATATTTTTCCATCGTCTTGCTTTCAGTCTATATGCATCTTTAGGTCTGAAGTGGGTTTCTTGTAGACAGCATATATATGGGTCTTGTTTTTGTGTCCATTCAGCCAGTCTGTATCTTTTGGTTGGAGCATTTAATCCATTTACATTTAAAGTAATTATTGATATATATGTTCCTATTGCCATTTTCTTTATTGTTCAGGGTTGATTTTGTAGATCATTTTCCTTATCTGGTATTTCTTGACTATATAAGTCCCTTTAACATTTGTTGTAAAGCTGGTTTGGTGGTACTGAATTCTCTTAATTTTTGCTTGTCTGAAAAGCTTTTTATTTCTCCATCAATTTTGAATGAAATCCTTGCCAGATACTGTAATCTTGGTTGTAGATTTTTTCCCTTTCAGTACTTTAAATATATCCTGCCATTCCCTTCTGGCCTGCAGAGTTTCTGCTGAAGTATCAACTGTTAAGTATATGGGGGTTCCCTTGTATGTTACTTATTGCTTCTCCCTTGCTGCTTTTAATATCCTTTCTTTGTGTTTAGTCTTTGTTAGTTTGTTTAGTATGTGTCTTGGTGTGTTTCTCCTTGGGTTTATCCTGTATGGGACTCTTTGTGCCTCTTGGACTTGATTCACTGTTTCCTTTTCCATGTTGGGGAAATTTTCAAATATAATCTCTTCAAAAACTTTCTCATACCCTTTCTTTTTCTCTTCTTCTGGGACCTGTATAATTTGAATGTTGATGTGTTTGATATTGTCCCAGAGGTCTCTGAGACTATCCTCAGTTCTTTTCATTCTTTTTACTTTATTCTGCTCTTCAGAAGTTATTTCCACCATTTTATCTTCCAGCTCACTGATTCATTCTTCTGCTTCAGATATTCTGTTGTTGGTTCCTTCTAGAATATTTTTAATTTCAGTAATTGTGTTGTTTGTCTCTGCATTTTTGTCCTTTAATTCTTCTAGACCTTTGTTAATTGATTCTTACATTTTCTTTTCAGTTTTTGATCATCTTTACTATCATTATTCTGAATTATTCTTCAGGGAGTTTGCCTATTTCCTCTTCATTTATTTGGACTTCTGTGTTTCTGGTTTGTTCCTCCATTTGTGTAGTATTTATCTGCCTTCTCATTTTTTTTAACTTATTGTGTTTGAGGTCTCCTTTTCTCAGCCTTCAAGGTTAAATTATTTCTTCCTTTTGGTTTCTACCCTCCCAAAGTTGGTACAATAGTTTGTGTAAGCTGCGATTAGGGTGATATTTGTGCTGAGTTTCTGTTTGTTTTTCCTCTGATGGGCAAGGCTAAGTGAGGTGGTAATCCTGTCTCCTGATGATTGGGTTTGTATTTTTGTTTAGTTTGTGGTTTAGATGAGGTGTCCTGCACAGTGTGCTACTGGTGGTTGGTTGTTGCAGGGTCTTGTATTCAAGGGGTTTTCTTTGTGTGAGTTCTCACTATTTTATACTCCCTAGGGTTAGTTCTCTGGTTGGCTAGGGTCTTGGAGTCAGTGCTCCCACTCCGACGGCTCGGGGCTTGATCTCTCTCCAAAGACCAGTCTAGGTCCAATCTACCAACAGGAATTTCACCCAAAATGAAAGGGCCTTTACTTGAGTTCCAAAAGCCAGTGCACAAGAGCAGAATGAAGATCTCTGACTCAGCGAAACCTAGGTATTGCCTGCCACATGGACAGACCTTGGGTTGCAACAGATGACTAGAGGATCTGTCTTTAGCAGTTCTTTTTCATCTTTTCTATTGTTTCTTTTGTTGTGTAGAAGCTTTTTAGTTTGGTAGTCCCTTGTATTGATTTTTGCTTTTGTTGCTTATAATTTTGGTATCATATCTAAAAAATTCATTGCCAAGACCAATTTGAAGGAGTTTTATGGTTATCAGGTCTTATGTTATTCCATTTTGAGTTAATTTGTGTGTGTGGTGTAAGATAGGGGTCCAATTTCATTGTGTGTGATTATCCAATTTTTCCAAAATCATTTGTTGAAGAGACTATCCTTTTCTCATTGAGTGTTCTTGGCTCCCTTATAAAATATTAACTGACTGTAAATACAGAGATTTATTTCTGGGCTCTCTATTCTGTTTTATCAGTTTGCATGTCTACTTTAATGCCTGTATCATACTGTTTTAATTACTATAGCTCGGTAGTGTAGTTTGAAATCAGGACGTGTGATGCCTTCAGCATTGTTTTTCTTTTTGATAATTGCTTTGGCTATATGGTGTCTTTTGTAGTTCCTTACGAATTTTAGGGGGTTTTTTTGTGTGTAAAAAATGCCATTGGAATTTTTATACAGATTGCATTGGATCCATAGATGACTGGGTAGTATAGACAGGTTAACAATATTAATTCTTCTGATCCATGTACATGGGGATATCTTTCCGTTTGTTTTTGTCTTCAATTTCTTTCATCAAAGTATTGTAGTTTTCATTGTACAGATCTTTCACCTCTTTGGTTAAATCTATTCTTAAGTGTTTTATTGCTGGTGATGCTATTGAGAATGTGATACTTTTATTTATTTTTTAGATATTTTGTCATTACTGTACAGAAACACCACTGATTTCTGTATTTTTGTTTTATATCCTGAAACTTTACTGAATTTGTTGATTAATTCTGATAGATTTTTGGTTGAGTCTAGGGTTTTTTGTATATGAGATCATATCATCCACAAATAATGACAATTTCATTGCTTCCTTTCTGATTCAGATATCTTTTATTCCTTTTTCTTGGCTAATTGCTTTAGCTAGGCCTTCCAGTACTTTGTTGAAGTAGGACTTCAGAGTGCTGAGAGGGGGCACCCTTGCCTTGCTTTTATCTTACAGGAAAACTTTCAGTTTTTCACCATTGAATTAGCTGTGGATTTGTTGTATATGGCCTTTATTATGCTGATATGTGTTCCTTCTATATTGAATTTGTTGAGGGTTTTTAATCATGAAAGTATGACTACAGCCTCCATCTCAAATGTCTCTGGGACAATTTGGGAGACCAAAAAAAAAACAAAACTAAGAGACCCCTGTGAATGAAGAATGTTATTATATTTTCTGTTCTGCTAAACGTATTTAAAATGACATCATGTGCATTGATATGATACCAGGATAGAGGGAGAAGAAATATACATCTTTATAATGCTAAAGTTGTCCTTTCCTCCTTTGTTCCTCAAAGGCAGCCCTGGAAGCATTAGATGAACTGGACCTGTTTGGTGTGAAAGGTGGGCCGCAGTCAGTTATCCATGTCCTAGCTGATGAAGTACAACACTGCCAGGTAAGAGGATAATGGACCATATTATAGAAAAATATATTTTTACTCAGACTCAAATTTAGCATGAGCTTTAGAATAAGGAGAACTGAATGAGAATACATAATCTGATTTATTATCATGTGCCAAAAATGTTTTATTAAGCATTCTATAGAGATAAACCTGATGTGGCATGAGCTATAAAAGAGATCATAGTCCTGTTCTCTCACCCAACATTATAAAGGGATCCCATCACAGTGTATGAAATTATCCTCTATTGTATCTCCTTTTCTAAATATACCGACAGAACAAGAGGTTCTTGATTGAGTGTTCTTCTTGATAGTGGTTCTGAATATTTCTCTTGTCCCCATTGGCACTAGGGTTAGATGTTTGGAGATTAGACTGTTTACATGGTAAATGCATATCTTCATTTTTGTTTAAGATTACTTTATGTATTGAAAGATAAAGGTTCTTTTCATTGACAGTATGGCTTTTCCCATCTTCTTCAAACCCTGATTGGACCCCCATGGTGTTCTAGTGAATATAATCTTACTTTCTAATTTTAAAAATGCATTCCCCATCCCTATCCCCCCTCCCGCCTCCCTCACTATGTAAATCCATGGCTGATTCATGTCAGTGTATGGCAAAAACCACTACAATATTATAAAGTAATTAGCCTCCAACTAATAAAAATAAATAAATTTTAAAAATAAATAAATGCAAAATTTTCAAATGAGAAGATAAATTTGGGGGATATAGGAGCTAAGCTTTCTGTATCCTTCTTCCCAGCTGCTATATTTATGCTTAAATAGTTGTTAATGGAGCAACAGGATTGTGGGTGGAAAAATGATGCTTTGAGTATTCTTTATCCATTGGCAGCTGCTTAGAAATCAGGATTAGGAAGCACTGAGAGAACGATTAAGACAAGGGATGATTTATAGAAGTAGCTAGTCTTCTAAGCTCTCACTATTGAATCATTTTTATATTTTCATTTAAATTATCTTCAACATAAATCTTTTGAAATTAAAGCTATTAGTTTTATAATCCCAGGTCACTTACTAATGTGCTACATTTGACTTCCTTTATTTCCTTTCTTTCAGTCTATCCTTAATTCAATACTCCCCCGGGCTTCAACATCTAAAGAAGTTGATGCTAGTTTACTTTCAGTTATTTCCTTCCCAGCCTTTGCAGTAGAGGATAACCAGTTGGTGGAGCTCACAAAACAGGAAATCATCACCAAGCTTCAAGTATGTCCATATGTGTCTTTCTTTTCTTTAGGGCTCTACTTTTAAGGCAAAATTAGTATCTTTGTGGGCCTTGAATGTGACCCGTGTCAGTGATTTAACCAAGCAGTCAGAGTTAACATCACCAGTAATAAGTAATAGTAATATCATGTATATGCCCTGATACAGTGCACTGAGAAGTGCATAGCACCTCTGTGATGTTCTTCCCAAGAATGTAGTACCTCAAACCAAATTCAGGGACATTCTACAAAACAACTAGCAGATGCTCTTCAAAAATGCTGAGATGATGAAAAACAAGGAAAGACTGAAGAATCATCACAGATTAGAAGCGACTAAGGAGACATGACAGCTAAATGCAGTGGAACCCTAAACTGGATACTGGAACAGAAAAAAAGCGTTAGTGAAAAGTCTGGTGAAATCCAAATAAGTTATGTACTTTGGGTTAGTAGTGTTGTACCAAGGTTAGTTTTTTTTAGTTTTGGTGAATGTCCTATGGGCTTTCCAGATGACTCAGTGGGAAAGAATATGCCTGCCAGTGCAGGAGATGCAGGTTTAATTCCTGGGTCAGGAAGATCCCCTGGAGAAGCAAATGGCAACCCACTCCAGTATTCTTGCCTGGGAAATCCCATGGACAGAGAAGCCTTGTGGGCCACAAAAGAGTGGGACATGACTTAGTGACTGAACAACAGAAACAAAAAAATGTTCTATGGTTATATAAGATATTAACATTAGGGGACAGTGGCTGAAGGAAATATGGGGACTCTGTACTGTTTTGGGAACTCTTCTGTAAGTCTCAAATTATCTCAAAAATTTTAAAATGTGTTTCCTTTAAAAAAAAAACTGTAGTCTCATAAGAATTGTGTGAGCAGAACCACATAGGTTCATAATTGGGCTGTCATAGACTTATCTGATGGTAGAAAGCCATGGAGAAGATGAAATAAGAACTTTGCTTTAGGGAAGAGTCTATAACTTAGCCCTCACTTGAAATCACGTTGCTGAAATTGGTTTCTGTTGCTGGGATGATATCAGAGTTTTTTAAAATTATTTTTTAGGTATCATTTCTATGTTGTTGATAGGTTGGCACATGTAGCTTTTGCAGAGGATGCATTTCTTATTAATTATATTGCTGTACCAATGTGCGTGCTTCTTACTTGTTTCCTCTGCATTTCCAGGGTCGTTATGGTTGTTGTCGCTTTCTACGAGATGGATATAAAACTCCTAAAGAGGTAGGTTTGTTTTCCCCAAAATGAGTCCAAGATAGAATGGTCACTACTAACTGCAGCTTCATTCAGAGAAAATATGTATCTCATCAATATTACTTCAAATAATTACTAAATAGGGTAACAAAGACTGACGCTTGCTGCCTTTTTGGGGTTTAGTTGCCAGGTTTTCTCTGTGAGCTGTTCCATATTAAATAAAATAGAGGAAAGTGTACATCCTTCCACCTCTTGAAGTTGTTTAGTTTCAGGAAAGAGCTACTTATGGATGCTTAAATCACTGGATGAAAATTTTAGCAGAAACAGAATATTTACATAGTCTCAAAGTGTTACTCCTGAAATATTCAATAATTACAAAGGAAAACTCTGTCAGTAGATCCTTTTGGATCCCTTCTACCTTTTGCAGTTGATTAATTCTAAACAGTACTTGATCTTGAAAAGTTAACTTTCTTTTGTTCCACTTGTCAAAAATTTTCCTTGGAAATATCAATGAAGAAAATTAAGTATTATTAAAAAGGGAATGAGTGATTGTTAACTACTTTGGCAATGTAAACATTATTTAAAGGCTCAGGTCAGCTGGTTGAGAGCCATTATAATTTTTTTTAATTACTGAGCTCAAACTCTTCTGGTTTACTTCCTCTCTTCCATGTTATACTTTAGGCCTTTTGACTTCTGCCCCCACTAATCTATTAAAATTGTACTCTGAAATATCATCATAATCTCCTAAGTAACCAATCTAGTAGCATTTTCTCAGTCCTTAGTCTCTTTTTTAGATGAATTTAATTTTATTCAAATCATAATCCAAATTACAATGGATAGATAGTTTTATAATGAAATATAACTATATTTTACTGATTTCACTATAGACACTGAAAAAAACACAATAAAAATAGGTTTGACATCTCTGTTACCTACCACTACATTTTCTTGAAATTCTTTTCCTATTTTAATTTCCACAACTCAATGTCATTCTAATTTTTCTCCTCTTTCTGTTCTCCTTCATCAAACTGAGGATTTACCAAGTTTCTGTTCTTTGGCTGCCTGTTCATTGTATGTAGGTACTACAGCTATAGCTTGTGTTTCATGTGTCAAGTCTTCAAGGATGATTCCCAAACCTTCATCTCTTGCTATCCTTCTAAACATTTTTATTTGTATGTTTTGCTACTACCTCAAAATTAACAAGTACAAAACCGAACTCAAGGTTATTACAAATTAGTCTCACTTCCTCATACATCTGCCTGTAGTATCATTTTTATCCTAGTTCTACTAGTTAGAATCACATGACAAAGTGTTAGTCACTCAGTCGTGTCCAATTCTTTGTGACCTCATGAACTGTAGGCCACCAGGCTCTTCTGTCCATGGAATTCTCCAAGCAAGAATACTGGATTGGGTAGACATTCCCTTTTCCAGGAGATCTTCCCAACCCAGGGATTGAAGCCAGGTCTCTTGCATTGTAGACGGACTCTACTGTCTGAGCCACCAGTATTTGCTAAAGGAGGAGTGTGTGTATGTGAGCTGCCTTCTCTGAAACAAACTATTAGTGATGAAAGGCTGTGTTGTAATACCTCTGAACTAAAGATATAGTCTGATCTTGGAGTAATAAGAGACTTTGTTTATTGTTTTTACTAGGATCCCAATCGTCTGTACTATGAACCAGCTGAGCTGAAGTTATTTGAAAACATTGAGTGTGAATGGCCATTGTTCTGGACATACTTTATCCTTGATGGGGTCTTTAGTGGCAATGCAGAACAGGTAATGGCGCTGGGGAAAGAGCTTTTCAGCAGATTGTTATTACGTCTTCCTCTTTCAGTTAATGATTGTGCTGACCTTATGCCCAAATGGAAGTCTTCCTAATAGGGAGGATACAGAGTTGTCTTCACAGGGGCCCCTGACCTCCAATGCCTGATGAGCCAAGGTAAAGCTGATGTAATAATACTAGAAATATAGTGTGCAACAAATGTAATGCCCTGAATCATCACAAAACCACCACATGCCCCTAGGTCTGTGGAAAAATTCTTTCCCACAAAACTGGTCCCTGGTTCCCAAAAGGTTGAGTACCACTTTCCTAGAGACTAATAGTTGAGGGTACTATGTTAGAGAATAACACTGAAACATGTACACTACTGTATGTAAAACAGATGAACAGTGCAAGTTCAATGCATGAAGCAGGACACCAAAAGCCAGTGCTCTGGGACAACCCAGAGGGAAGGAGCAGGAAGGGAGGTGGGAAGGGAGTTCAGGATAGGGGGAACATAAATATCTGTGTCAAATTCACATTGATGTATGGCAAAAACCGTCATAATATTGTAAAGTAATTATCCTCCAATTAAATTAAGTAATTGAAAAAGGTAAAATTTTGACTACATCCCCGCCCCCAACAAAAAGAGTTAAAAGACCTAGAAACACACCGCTACATTTTTAAATGGATAACCAACAAGGTCCTACTGTATGGTACAGGGAAATCTGCTCAATGTTATGTGGAAGCCTGGATGGGAGATAGTTTGGGGAAGAATGGATACATGTATATGTATGGCTGAGTCCTTTCACTGTTCACCTGAAATATCACAATATTGTTAACCAGCTATACCCCAATACAAAATAGTGTTTAATTTAAAAACAAGAGTTAGAAGACTTGGATATTGCTATCACTCAGACTTGACTTGCAGTAAATATAGAAAACAGAATAGCAAGTCCTGTGTATTTGCCTTAGTCATCAGACATAGATACTTGAATTTACCTCCTGACTTTATATGTCTTTATAAAAAATAAATCTTGGAAATGATGTTCTGATTTTAGCCAACAAAACAAAACAACAACCCAGTTATACCCTGTCCTCACACCCCAAAATACAGTCATCATTGTTTTTTTAGCTACACAAATAAAGTAGTTCAGAAACCATTGTGGGAAAACAGTGAGACTGGACAATTTAATCAAGTAAGTTTAATGTCAGGCATTCTGCAAATTGCCTGTGTTCTAAACTTGGACGTAAAAACAACACATTTGGAATTCATTTTACTCAGCTACATAAAATACAACTTTGTGTAATTTGAATGTTTTGGCCAATAGTAGTCTGCAACTGCCAATGTGAGTTTAAATAATAGAGTTACACTGAAGTTGCAGGGGCACAAAGGGTTATTTCTTTAAGCTTTAGTAAATTATAGAGTATATTTTTTGAGCAAGAAAAACAATAATAGAAATAGCTGCCTTATCTTGACCACCCTATTTTGATTCTACCATTTTTTTCAGTCCTTCTCAAATTCAACAAAATTACTTATCAAAAGCTGGGCTTGCTCAAAGAAAGTTTTATTTGTTAAATGTGCCAACTGAGTATAAAGCACATTTAGGTTTAAACTCTTGGGAGGAAGAAAAGAGTTGAAAGACCTGGATTCTTTTTTATTCTTTTCTTTTACCAACTTTGCTACTGACCACTGAGTAGCCCAAGTACTGTCATTGACTTCTTTAGTTTCTCTGTGCAGGCATATCTCAAAAATTCACAGGTTCAGTTCCAGACCAGCATAAAGATTGCAAATATCTCAATAAAGCAAGTAATATGAAATTTTTTTGTTTCCCGGTACTTATAAAAGTTATGTTTATCCTACATTCTATTAAGTGTATAATAGCATTTTATGGCTAAAAGAAAAAACAATGTATATACCTTAATTAGAAATAGTTTATTGCTGAAAAATAATAAGCATCATCTGAGCCTTCCATAGGTCATAATCTTTTGCTTTTACATGCTTTGAGATACTATGAGAATTCCCACAGACATGACACAGAGACACAAAATGAGCAAATGCTGTTGAAAAAATGGTACCAGTAGACTTGCACAATACAGGGTTTTACAGTTTGTAAAAACAAACACAACAAAGAAAACGCAGTATGTGTGAAGCACAATAAAGTATAATAAAACAAGATATGCCTGTACATATGATGAGAATAATTTTTCTCTCTTCATTGAAGAAGTGTATAGCACTAAAATTCTTTGAATTCCACAGGTAAAGATGTAATAAGTACAAGGTACAGTCAGTTTGGCTATAATGAGACACATATGTTACCTAAAAATTACCATGCTCTGCATATTTGAGAAGTAAAAACTATAGGGCTTGTACAAAAATGTGGTTTGGGAACAACACTTAAAAAGTTTCTCAGAAATATATACAAAATGATAGGAACCTAATAAAAACAGTACCACAAATAAACATTAGTGGCTTTAAAGCATTCATTCATTCCTCTTTCAAAAATTATATTCTGAGAAAATTATTTTGCAAGTAGCAAACATTTATGTACAATTCTGCTCATCACTATTACATTCATACAAATTAAGTCTGGTGATAATTTAAATGTTCAACAAGAAGGAAATATTAAATTAGAGATCATGCATATAAAATATTATGCTATTAAAATGTTTATTAAACTTAATAATATTATTAAAATTTTGGATTAACTTGTTTTATATTTCAAATATAATTTGTAGTGTTTGGTTTTCTCATAATTGAAAAATCAGTACCACAGCTTTATACATGTTAAATGTTTAAGAAATACATAAATACCACAAAGATATAGCCTTTGTACTTGAAAAACAGCTGAAGTTTGCTTGTGAATATGTGCACCTTACAGGGCTCCCATGCTTGCCTCTCCATGTGCCAGAGGAAGAGAAGAAAAGAGAGATAGCATGAAAGTGAAAGTGAAAGTTGCACGGTTGTGTCTGACTCTGCAACCCCATGGTCTGTATAGTCCATGGAATTCTCCAGGCTAGAATACTGGAGTGGGTAGCCTTTCCCTTCTCCAGGAGATCTTCCCAACCCAGGGATCAAGCCCAGGTCTCTTGCATTGCATGCAGATTCTTTACCAGCTGAGCCACAAGGGAACCCAAGAATACTGGAGTGGGTAGCCTATCCCTTGTCCAGGGGATCTTCCTGACCCAGGAATCGAACCGGGGTCTCCTGCATTGCAGGCGGATTCTTTACCAACTGAGCTATGAGGGAAGCCCAAGAGATAGCATAAGAGGGAAAAAAAAGAATATTAAGCAGAGAAAAAGAATAAAAATAGGCCGAGGAGGGAATAGAGGGGGAAATTAAGTAGAAGGAAAGGCACAGAGCCATGCAGCCGAAGTGACTGTAAGAGAGCAGCTGGAGAGTTGTAGAAGGAGAGTTACTTAAAATTGGATGGAAAGTTATAACACCACATGTGGATTGTGTTTCATGGCTCTCCTGAGGTGTGTACATGTGTGTGTTTTGTGTATTCTTACAAGACTCCTTTCAGCTGAGTGCATTCTCAGGTTGAAATTGTGCATAAGCAGATATAAAATTTATGTTATGCTCAGATTGTTCTCTAATATATCAAATGCATTGGAACACATTTGTGCTTTCAAAACAACTATTACAGCAGAACTGACTGTATATTTTTTCCACCATAAATTATAGTGTTTTTTTTTACTTCTTATGTATTACTAATCTACAGCAAATTGTTAAGCAAAAAATGTAAACTTGATCATAATATAAACTTGATTTGGCAGGGACAATACAGTTTTAAAAGCAGTTACATGTACAATCAATAAGCTGTACTTAGGTTAGTACATAGTGGACAAAAGTAGACCCATGGAGGCAGGTTGACTTGGGCTCAAATCTGGACTCAACCTTGCACTGGCTGTGTCATCTTCCACAAGCTCATAACTTCCTTGAGCCTTAATTTCCCTGTAAATAGGCTTTAATTACACACACCTGGATGGTTATTAAAGTTAAATATATTAACATATGCAAAACTCCTAGCATATCTGACCTCTAATAAGCATTTAGTAAATGCTACTTCCCTTTCTTCTCCCTTTCTCTAGGTGAATACATTCCTTTACAATAGAACCTTCTTTTGCTACAACCCTTTTCTAGATCCCCAAAGGTAATTCTCTATAAACTTTGTTCTCCTTTTCTTTTATCTACAGGTTCAAGAATACAGAGAGGCTCTTGAAGCAGTCCTCATCAAGGGCAAAAATGGAGTCCCACTTCTGCCAGAGTTGTACAGTGTTCCTCCTGACAAGGTGAGCTGGACAGTGCCCTAATATGGAGCTGGGAGAAGAGGAGCAGTACCTCAAAAGAATTGCCTTGTCTGACTCAAATGAACTTTAATCTTTTGATTTTAATGTTCTAGAGTCTGTCTTTAGGTATAGGACAATAAAAATATTATTTTATTCCTTTGAAAATAAAGTTTTAAAGCAGGCTTGGTTATGGCATTGTTACTGAGTGAGATGAGGGCAAGACCAAACCTTTCAATGATAGTTTCATGGGTGTATATTTATCCTCAAACCCATCAAGATGCATATGCTAAATACATATGGCCTTTTTGTATGTCAGCTATATCTCAATTTTTAAAAATAAAATAAATTATTCAGAGATTAATTTTTTAAAAAAATCAAACCTTAAAGTTGAGAATGGCTTGGAGATCAGTAGGCTGAACTAGATTGAAGTTCTGTGTGAACTCTCAGTATTTGATATTTTCTGCTGTGATATAGTCATCTGTGATTAATTGAGTAGATCAGGCTTGGAAAATGAAGTATGTCTCCATTTTCTCAAAATGCCAGTCGAGATTACTATTGTTCCTCGTCTCCCATTGCAGAGCATTAGCTGGGGGAGAGATTCAGTCTTCCATGCTAGTGGGGTTGAATGGACTAAGCTCATAGAAACATCAGCAGCATCACCTGAGAGCTTGTTATAAATGCAGATTTCAGGCCTTCCCTGACATCTACTTAGTCAGAACCTGCCTTTGGGCCAGATCCTCAGGTGGTGCATACAGTTAGAGAAGTACTGTCCTAGAATCATAGTGCTTGACTTTGTAGTGTATTGCATATGTGACTGTTTTATAGAATATGAATCACAGTCCAGAATCACCCTTTTTGTTGTCTAGTATCTTAAACCCTCTTTTTCTTTATCTTGTTATCTTTTTTAATTTAGGTTGATGAAGAATATCAGAATCCTCACACTGTGGACCGGGTTCCCATGGGCAAACTGCCTCATATGTGGGGACAGTCTCTATACATTTTAGGAAGCTTGATGGCAGAGGTAAGGGGAAAGTTCAAGGCTCTTCTACTTTTCTGCTTCAGTCACCATAACAAACAGATTTTTGTCAGTAGCTCATTTGTGAGTGCAAGTTTCCCTGGTGGCTCAGTCGTAAGAATCTGCCTGCCAATGCAGGAGACCCAGGTTCAATTCCTGGGTCAGGAAGGTCCCCTGGAGAAGGAAATGACAACCCACTCCAGTATTCTTGCCTGGGAAAACCCATGGACAGAGGAGCCTGGCAGGCTACAATCCATGGGTTGCAAAAGAGTCAGACATGCCTCAGCGACTAAACAACAACAATATTTGTGAATAGCCTTTTGTATTCTGCCTTGATTACAAAATTTCCTCCAGTTCCTTAGAGTGGGAACATGGCCAATCCTTGGCAAAAATCTTTCCCCCTGGTAACCATGTCCCTCATGCTTGCCCAGGGCTTTCTACCCTGGTACTGTACTTGAAGTTGCTCTGAGATCAGGCTGGAAACGCCCCCTGGTGCCTTGTCTGGTGACTGTGAATGTAATTGTGCTTGGATAGTAATGATTTATCCCTGGTGGCTCAGATGGTGAAGAATCTGCCTGCAATGCAGGAGACCCAGATTCAATCCCTGGGTTACGAAGATCCCCTGGAGAAGGGAATGGCTACCCACTCGAGTATTCTTGCCTGGAGGATTCCATGGACAGAGAAGCCTGGTGGGCTATAGTCCATGGGGTCACAAAAAGTCAGACGTGACTGAGCGACTAACACTTTCACTTTTTTTCAGTAATGACTTATAATGGAGTTAAGTGCTCACTTTTCCAAGCAACATAATGTTTCATTCTTTAATCAAATAAACTGATGAGGTAATTTTAGGTACCATGACAAGTGTTTATAAGCATCATAGTGTTTTGTTTGTTTGTTTGTTGATAAGGGGCCCTTTATAAATTTTTTACATTAAACTCTGCTGATCCAATTCTCAATGAAGCACTTAAGAATTTCTTACTTTATGTTCAGCTTATTTGTGACATTTTGAGCCATAAGAAGCTTTCCCTTTCTCAGAGTTTTCCAGATTTGTTGACAAATCTACTTCCCCATTATAGGTTATCATATAAGCTATAACCCAGGCATTATAGGATTATAACCCTATAATCCTAGAGCAGAGATCCTGAACCTCCAAGATCTAATGCCTGATGATCTGAGGTGAAACTGATGTATACTAATAGAAATAAGTGAAAGTGAAAGTCGTGTCCGACTCTTTGTGACCCCATGGACTATATAGTCCATGGACTGCTCCAGGACAGAATACTGGAGTGGGTAGCCTTTCCCTTCTCCAGGGGAATCTTCCCAACCCAGGGATCAAACCCAGGTTTCCCACATTGCAGGCAGATTCTTAACAAGCTGAGCGACAAGGGAAGGCCCAATAAATATAATGCATTTGAGTCATCCTAAAACCATGCCCCCCACCCCAGTCTGTAGAAAAATTGTCTTCCATGAAACCAGTCCCTGGTACCAAAAAGGTTGGGGACCACTGTCCTAGAGGATCTGGGGTGGGACTTAGCTTTCCTTTCTGAGCCAGACCCTTTGACATGTTTATAAGTAACTTGTTTATTTTCTACAGCTGTTTTCTACAGGTATAATTGACATAGATCTCTATGAGTTTCAGGTGTACAGCATAAAGGTTTATCTTTGGTTGACATTATTATAAATGTAGCAATAATGGGCAGAATGATTTGTTTAAAATCTTGGTGACTTCCTCATTCAATTAGAATAAATTAAATGCTATTTAAAAATGAGGAGATGGATGGTATTCTTAAGGGCTAAGTGGATGAGTTCATCCCATTTCATCAGAGACTCAGGTCAAGTCAAAAGATATCTGCTGAAAAGAAAGCATAGCGTGCATATGAGTAAATGTGAAAGCAAGAGGACTAATGACTTAAATTATTGATTATAAGCATTGTGATCTGATTGTATAATTATGTGCATGCAGAGAAAATGAAGGTATAACTAGAAAACTTTCTGTTTATCTTTTATACCCCATCTATTTCCAAAAAAGAATTTGTGGCAGCCACTAGAAATTAACTCCAGACAAAATTTAATTTGGATATGAATTCAGGAGTTCAAACATTTTCATACAGTAAAGGTATTTGCTTTCTTTCCATACTTGCCTCTCACATATTATGGTACACAGTTCTGGCACAGGTATGTTGTTTCTCCTCCAATATTAGCTTTCTTTGAAGATATAATTGTCTTTTTTATGGATTTTCTTTAGGGATTTTTAGCTCCTGGAGAAATTGATCCCCTAAATCGTAGGTTTTCTACTGTACCAAAGCCAGATGTTGTGGTTCAAGGTATGTATTCTTATTCCCAGCATCTAAAAACTTTATATTAAAGGTCTGATTTGGGCCAGTAAATGATGACTTTATTCTTTATGAAGTATTTTGTTAGGCTTAAAAATGTATAGTATAAACTTGGTTCTGTGTGGTTTCAAGATTGCTATGAATCTTACTTATGAGAAAATGTTTAATAAAGGATGTTATTTGACACTCTTAACCACTATCTTATTTCTGGAAACTCATTTCTTTTCACCATGATATATTATAGCCTCCTGATTATCTCTGCTTTTGTTCTGAGTATTCCTTCTATGCTTTTTCTGCTAATATTTCTTTCTTCTCATATCCTCCTAATGGTTGTATAGTCTTGTACACTTGTTAATATTTCTTTCTTCTCATATCCTCCTAATGGTTGTATACTTAGTCTTGTACACTTGTTATTTCTGTATTTACACCCTTCATGTGTTCACTAGGGCTGCCTCCTTCATAATAAATTTCTTTCATGGCCCCAACTATTACCTCTTTAGAAAATGTTCAAAACCTTAATTTTATTTTGCTCCTAACAATTAACTTAAATTTTGAGGTTTATCTACTTCATGCAGAACACTGGGCTAAGTTCTATAAACATGTTAAGAATTCTAGCCCTAATATATATAAAGGATCTTTATAGCTTATGCTTTAAATGCAAAACTGACCTTTTTTGTCTCCTTTCCAGCCTTTTACCTCTCCCAGTTCTCTCAATGATATCACTATTATGCTAGTCTCCTAGGGTAGAAAACTCCAGATGACTTTTGACTCCCCCAAAACACTATCCAATATGATACTAGGTCTTCCTGTGAAGGGTTTCTCAGGTGGCTCAGTGGTAAAGAATCTGCCAGCTAATGCAGGAGACACGGGTTTGATCCCTGGGTTGGGAAGATTGCCTAGAGGAGGAAACGGCAACCCACCCCAGTATTCTTCCCTGGGAAATCCCATGGACAGAGGAGCCTTGCAGGCTACAGGCCATGCGGTCACCAAGAGTCAGACACGACTGAAGTCATTTAGCACAGCACAGCCTCCCGTGAAGCTCCTCCAATATGTCTCCATTTCAATCCCAACCTCCATTGGAATTGATTCTATATAGAAAAATAATCCTTTGTATTTTCTAAACATTCTTATACTTGGCATCCTATGTGGTCATAAAGATAGTCTTTGCTTATCAATGTATATGCATACTTCATTTTAGTGTGCTTCACTTTATTGTGCTTTGCAGATACTGTGTTGTTTTTTTTTTTTTTTTACAAATTGAAGGTCTATGGCAACCTTGTGTCAAGCAAGTCTGTTGGTACCATTTTTCCAAGAGCCTTTGCTCTCTTCATGTGTCTGTCACATTTTATAATTCTAGCAAAACTTCAAGCTTTTCATTATTATTGTATTTGTTATAGCAATCTGGGATCAGTGATCTTTGATGTTACTACTATGACTTGTTGAAGGCTCAGATGATGGTTAGAATTTTTAAGAATAATAAAGTATTTTTAATTGAGGCTTTCGCATTGTGTTTTTAGATACAATACTGTTGCACACAATAAATTAAAGCATAGTGTAAACATAACTCTTTCTAAATTTTATTTATTTTTTAATTGAGGTATAGTTAATTTGCAATGTTATGTTAGTTTCAAGTGTATAGCAAAGTGATTCAGTTGTGTATACACATACAGATATTTTCTTCTTCAGTTCCTTTTCCATTATAGGTTGCTATAAGATATGGAGTGTAGTTCCCTTGTTTACCTATTTCATATATAGTAATGTGTATATATTAATCTCATACTCCTAATAGTTTATCCCCCCCTCTATCCTGTCATCCCTTTTGGTAACCATAAGTTTGTTTTGTATAAGCATAACTTTTATATATAGACTAGGAAGCTAAAAATTTGTGTGACTTGCTTTATCATGATATTCACTTTATTGCAGTGGTCTGGAACCAAACCTGCGATATCTCTGAGGTATTTAGTACATAACGAACATTATATAAAAGAACATCACTCTCCATGAGAAAGCTCGTTCCCCTTTGAAGCTTGTGCCGTCTGGCTATATTAGTCTCCTGGTTACTCTCATTCATTCATTCAAGACTTTGAGACTTGGCTTAAAGCCTCCTCTTATTCCTCAGTCCCTGCCATAGTGATAGATTTCAACATCAAAGTGCCATCTAATATTTTAGCCTCAGAATTCTTAGATATCCATAACCCTAGTGACCTTTCCCTCTACCACTACTCTACTCACTTTGAGGACCAAACTTTAGAATTATTTTACCTCAGATATTCCATTGCCAAAAGTCCCAATCCTCAGTCATAATTACATACTGTTTCAGTTTTCTTCTCCCTGCCCCATCCTCCAGTTACACTTTTGTCTATTTTCTCCTAGTCTGTCCTTCCCAGGCTTCCCTGTTGGCTCAGTGGTAAAGAATCTGCCTGCCAATGCAGAAGGCACAGGTTCGATCCCTGGGTCACAAAGATTCCTTGGAGAAGGAAATGGCAACTGACTCCAGTATTCTTGCCTGGGAAATACCATGGACAGTGGAGCATGATGGGCTACAGTCCATGGGTCGCAAAAGAGTCAGACACAACTTAGCAACTGAACAATGACAATATCCTTCCTTACCTTTCAGTTGGTCATCTGAATATCTTAATCATCAGTGCACCATACTTCTGCTATACCCACACAGGAAAATCATAGCTCCAGATCAACTTTCTTATTTTCTGATCCTATACCTGCCTTGCTAAAATTTTCTAGGAAAAAAAAAAATCAGACAAGTGAGCATAGCAGTAGTGCTGTAAATCCAGTCTCCAACTCAACTAGGCCCACAGTACTTCCTGTTAGTCCTTGTTTTTATTATTAGTCAGCATTTTCATTCTTCTCAACAACCCTACTGCTTATTTTCAGCCTCATTTTTGGCCTGCTACTTTATGCTGGATAATCTTAATGTTTTGATCTTTGTCAGTTTCCCAAACCCCAACCACAATTTTATTTATATCTTCACCCATTCTTACCTCTTTTTCTTTAGTCTCAGAGCAGTTGTTTTTTCTTCTCTTCAGCACCAACTCTCCCTTCTGATGGTTGATCCTATCCTCTTCCCCACCCTTCCTAGAAACCTGCTCTTTCCTGTCATCTTCAAACTCTTCTCTGTTGGTTCTGATTTTTAGTACACTGACATCATCATCCTCGAGTTATCCTACTCTTCTTTTCTCATCCAGACTTCCACTTATTTATATTTCATTCATTGTAATGTCCTTTACAACTAGCTTATTATTCCTTTGAAAGTGCTTTTGCTTAAGTTATTGTCAAACAGTAGATATTTTTCAATCCATTTCTTAGTGGGTCTTTCTGTTTCACTTATTGTTTGTTTCTGAGACTCTTAATTCCTGTGTCTTCTGTGAGACCATACACTCTTAGATCTCCTTCAACCTGAATTTTATACTTTCTCTTTCTGGGCTTCCTCTTCTGCTTGCCCATTAACTGTTGGTATTCCTGGGAGTTTTGTCCATAGGCCACTGTTCTTCTTACTCAGAATATTTGTTACTGTATCTCAACCTCCTCTCATTGCTAACCTTTTCCCTTTTCCTGCCTCCTCACTTCTGCCCTTTCAGTAGATGACCTCATCTCCTATACCATAGTGAAAATATAAGCTATGAGACAAGAACCCCCTTACTCCCGCCCCCAGGTTTTTCTTCACCTGCCCATTTCTTATATGTTGAAATTTCTGAAGGTTATGTTCTAGGTCCTTTTTTCTTATTTTCTTTTTTTTTGATAAAAACAGTCCCACAGCATTTATTGTCATCTGGTAATAACATAAGGGTGAGCAGAACAATATGCATACAAGGTTTAGAACTACATCTCTAACAAAGGACACCTAAAAACCCCAACGGTATTGCCAAACAATTTCTCACTTCATCTATCACTTCTAGTTGGAGACACTTTGGAGCAGAGTAATGTTATCTCCTTTTAGCATGATCCAAGCCAGTTGTTTTCTTGACTTTGTTTTAGAATGAATCTCTTCTGCATCATCTAATACAAGGTTCATATACTCATCAAAACCAGTGATACAGCCCTCTATCCGCATATTCACTTGCTCATAAAGCCACACCTGAATCCGCCATCTATTTTGCAAGTATCTGAAGATGAGATTGATGGGCTGCACCATCACCTTCTGCACCTTCTGGCCCTGGCCCTGATACGCCATGCTGGACACTCAGAAGCACCACACTCTCTCTCAGAAAGCAACTTCCAGAACCTTTCTTATTTTCTATACATTCTCCTTGACCCATCTCATCTCTTTCTATGCTAATGACTTCTGCACTTTAAACTCAGAATGTCTAAAATTAATCAGTTGCACCCTCCTACATCGCTCATGCCTGCTTTTCTCCCTATTTGCCTATGTCAGTAAATGTTACACTTTTCTCACAGTTACACAAATAACGTTCTCAATATCTCCCCCTCTCTCATCTCCTACATTCAGTCAGTTAACAAGTCCCAATTTCTTTACCTTCTAAATAATTCAGAAATCCATCAAGTTTATCCAGTACCAATGTCATGATCCTAATCTAAGTAATCAGCATCTCTTTCTTGCATTACTTTTTAAGTGGTCTCCTCGTCTTCAGTGTAGGTCGACTACAGTATATCAGTTTATTCTTTAAGCAACTCAAATATGTTCTTTTTAAGATAGAGATATGGATGTATCATTCCCCTGATTACAACTTTGCAAGGGCTTCCCATTACCAGCTTTCTTAACAAGACTTACAAGGCTCTTTATGATCTGGTCCCTGACCTTGTCTTCAGTGTCATTTCTTATCACTGTCCTTTTACACCCCATGCTCCTGCTGTAAAGGACTTTTTATCATTCCTAGATCTGCCTTGTTTTCTGTTGCCCATGAGTCTTTGTCTATGTTATTTTTTTGTCTGGAACAACTTTGTTAACTTTACCTTCAGCTTGCCAGAATAACTCCCATTCAGCCTTCTAGCAAGACTCAATGTCAAATGTCATTTTCTCCAAGGATCATACCTCTTTGTATCTCTAACTTATGGCAGTATCTAGCACATAAGTGGTACCAAGTAAGCATTTCCTAAATATTTGATAAAACATAAAATGCTGAGTTGTTGGGTTGAAAGTATTCCTGGGGCCCCAGAATGTGATTCACTTACCTCTCCTTTAGTCCCCTCTACTCCTGCTTCCAACTGCATTGCTCTCTGCAGAACCCTAGGGCTTAGGAGAATACAATTTGGCAATCAGTACTCAAGGATAAAATGCAATATCCTTAAAGTGACACACATGCTCTCCATGATGATCTAACCCCTATTTGCCTTTCCAGATTCATTTTTTTGCTGGTGGGGGGGTTGTTTGTTTGTTTTTGCCACTGTTCAAATATTTCATGCTATAGCAGTTTTGAAATATATGTTGTCCCCACACCACTGCTCTCTCTCTCACACACACACAAAAATACTCTTTTCTGTTTTCATGTTTTATGATCATTCTCGATCTTCAACCTAAAATTAATTTCCTCATTCTTATTCCCTTCTTTCTCCTGGCTAACTTATTCATTCTTTCAAATTCAGCTTAGACATCAACTCCTTCAGGAAGTCTTTTCTGAAACTTCCCTCTACCAACTTCAGACTAGATAGGTGTCACTCTTGGGGGGGTCTCATAATGTTCATATATATATATATATATATACACACTTTGCAATTTGTTTTATAATCAGTTTATGTATGTGACACTTTCATTACACTGTGAGCTCCTTGAGGGAGACACTAACTTATTCATCTCTAAATCCCTAGTTTTTAGCATAATGCCTTATCTGTTGAAGTGCTTAGTAAATGTTTATCAGTGAATGAATGGGTAACCACATGTGTTTCCCTGGATTTTGTCATCCCACCATTATTCTACCTTTGTCTATTGTCCCTGGTGAATCTTTGTCATTTTTCATTTAGAAGTAATCAAGGTAGTGTTATATCCAGAGGACCCTGTAATCACAATACCCTGCATATCCTGCCCCAGATCACAGCAGCACAACACCATGAGGTCCCCAAGATAGAAAAATACACAAAAGATAATGGGAAAGGAATGCAGGGTAGCACTTTGTTAACTAGGCTTTTGCCCCCCAAACTCAACATAGGCAATACTAGTAAGCTGGCATGAACCAAATGGCACCTTAATTTTCTCATAAACCCAATTCAACACACCTTGCGGCACTAGCTGGAGAAGGGAATGGCAACCCACTCCAGTGTTCTTGCCTTGAGAATTCCATGGACAGAAGAGCCTGGCGGGGTCCATGGGGTTATAAAGAGTCGGACACGACTGAGCAACTAACACAACACAGCAGCACTAGAGAAGCAGGAGTAGGGCTCATGTTTGCCCCTATTGCTTAGCATTAAGCCAGTTGAGGTCCCATTCAGATTATTGGCCCCCAGACAGGTATCAGTCCCATAGAGGGAAAATAAATGGAAGAGTCAGTGAGCTGGCCTGGACTTCTTCTCCCTTGTGAGAATGATGAGCACTTCTGAGATGTGAGTGTAAGAGGATGAAAAGGGAGCTGCCAGACTTGGCAGGCTCTGAATCTAGAAAAGTGTTATCCCCATCCCCCAAAACAAACACACACAATTTCAAATAGGGCACCTCAATTCTTTATCCTGAATTTACCTTGCCTTTTATCATTCTCTAGCTATAGAGTGATATGTATCACTAGGGTATTCTTTATTATCTTCATAATGCTGTCCCTGGCCTCTTTTTTTCTATTTAAACATAGAAACACAGATATAAAGCAAGCGTGGTGTTATCTAGAAGCTCATAGGTATATAGACAAAAACAGAATTGAATACTCTAATCATGAGGTCTTAGTTCCTTTTCCATTTAGATATCGTTATGTACCTAGCATGATGCTTGTTTTCTAAGTTTGTAATAACTGTTAATTTCCTTCTCTTTGTCTTCCCTTCAAAAAATATTGTGTGGCTTGAGAGAGATCTTTTGGACTTCCCAGGTTCAATCCCTGGGTTGGGAAGATCTCCTGGAGAAGGAAATGGCAACCCACTCCAATATTCTTGCCTGGAAAATCCCACGGACAGAAGAGCCTGATAGGCTACAGTCCATGGGGTCACAAAGAGTCAGACACGACTGAGTGACTTCACTTTCTTTCTTGAGAGATCTTTAGGTTCCTGTTGAAATAAAATTTTCTGTTAACCTCATCTTTTTTTCTTTCCTACAGTTTCCATTCTAGCTGAAACAGAAGAAATCAAAGCCATTTTGAAGAACAAGGGAATTGATGTTGAGACCATTGCTGAGGTATACCCCATCAGAGTACAACCAGCTCGTATTCTCAGCCACATTTATTCCAGCCTAGGTAAGGAGATTGGCTAACCTGCTAGAATCAAAGCATTATTCAATACAGGCTGGTTTCCTTCCATTTTATTTTTTCTTGATGCTTTATTTTTATTGCTTTATTAAACTAGATCTGAAATGGAATTTAGAGTCTCTGGAATCAAAGTTTCTAACTCTATATACCCTGAACAGGGTTGATAATTTTCAGTGTGTTTTGTGAACTCTTTGGTACAAAGGGCATGATTGTTACCAGGCAATGTTGTATCTTTGTTCCAAGTGTGTGCTTAACCAATATGTTCTTCTCCTCTTTCTTGGGACCTATATTTCTGTTTTGAAAAATATGAATTTTATGTAGATTAATAGCCAAGGAGCTTGTTTCTAGGTCATTTATACTTTGTCATGTAATAAATTAGTTGATAATATTTAAAATTCCAATTCTTGATCTACTTATTTTTAATTAGTACTTATTTTTTATTCAATGTATACATTAAATTTGGTGATAGACACATTAAACAAATTACTACAAATTAAAAACTTATGCAAGTTATTACAAATTTCACATTAAACAAATTACTACAATGTTAGCTTTAAAAAAAAAAGGATGTGCAAAATTTCTAAACTATCCTTGTGGAAGGCTCAGTAGTGGCCCTGAAAGATATTCAGGCCCTAATCCCTGGAACCTGTGAACATTACCTTATACAGCAAAAGGGATTTTTGTGGGTGTTATTAGGTTAAGGAAACCGAGATTGGTGGAGAGGATTATTTTGGGTTATTCAGGTGGGTGCTAAATATAGTCATAAGTCTTCTTATAAGAGGTACCCAGAGAGAGATCAGACTATAAAAGTAGGAGATGTGATGACAGAAGCAAGAGATTAGAGTGATAGGGCTACTGGCCTTATCCTCTAAGAAGCTGGGAGAGTCAAAGAACGGATTCTTCCCCTGGAGTCTCCAGAAGGAACCAGTTATGCTTGACACCTTGATTTTTATTTTACCCCATAAGACTTATTTTGGACTTCTGACCTCTAGAACTATAAGAATATAATTTTGTGTTGTTTTAAGCTACTAAGTTTATGTTAATTTGTTATAGCACCAACTGGAAATTAATGCAGTCTTAAATCAAGCCACAAATGAGTAAATATATAGATAAAGAATGTACCCTAGATAGTAGATTGCCACTTACAAACCCAAAGCCTATGGGGTATGTGTGTGTGTGTGTGTGTACTTTTTTTCTTCACCAAGAGTGGTCTTTTAATAATTAAAGCCAAGCCAAATTTTGTCCAGCCCCAAACCAGCCTCCTTCCCTTGTTAACAAACCTACTCCAGACACTCAATTTCTGTACAGTTATGTAGATCTAAATCGAGAGGGAATCAACCAAAGAGGAAAGGACTAGCAGTCAAAGCTGACTGTTCTTTGTCTTTCCTAGCATCCATATTTTTAATTTATTTTTTAATTGGAGGAAAAATGCTTTTGCAATGTTGTGTTGGTCTCTGCCATACAACAATGAAAATCAGCCCTAATTATATCTCCTCTCTCTAGAGCCTCCCTCCCCTCCCCCTATCTCACTCCTAGAACCCATATTTTATGCCAGCAGGGCCTGAACTCCCAGAGCTACTAACATTGCATCTGGCTTTAGGAATATATGGATTTCTCTCACTTTTCCATTCTAGCTATAATGTAGGAAATCCATTTTCTTTTTAAATTAAATATAAGTTTGGAAGTTTCTAAAGAAATTTTATTAGGAAAAAAATGGAAAACTAAAATATAAACAAATAGAAATTATCAAGTTTATTGAATATAGGTCTCGGGTCCTAATCAGGTCTCAAGGCCTAATTAATTTATAAAATCTAGCCACAGATTACCTTGAATATTGCAAATTACTGAACCCTCTGTTCCTTCTACATACTCAACCCTATTTGTGGTAAATGACAAGTCAAGGCTCTGAAACATCTGAGATTAATTTGCATTGATTCTTTACTAGGTGGGATGGGGTACCTCAGTCCTTCCCAGAACCGGCTTTCTGTTTTGTTTTGTTTTTTAACTTCCTTGGCCATTCCCTCTAGTCTGAGGCTAGACACCAGTCTCCAGATACCAGTCCACTAGCATTAAATCTTTTGAAATAAGGAAAGTATGTCTCTGTCTAACCCAAATCTTGGTGGTGGTGGTGGGTTAGTTGCTAAGTCATGTCTTGACTCTTGAGACCCCATGGACTATAGCCTTCCAGGCTCCTCTGTCCATGGGATTTTTCAGGCAAGAATACTGGGGTGGGTTGCTATTTCCTCCTCCAGGGTATCTTCCTAACCCAGGAATCAAACCCACGTCTCCTGCATTGCAAGCAGATTCTTTACCCCTGAACCACTAGGATGCCCTAGTGCCCTAACCCAAATCTTACTCCATGAATATAGTTGATCTTGTAGTCACTGTCTTCTTTGTCCTTCTTAGAAGTCTCTGTGGTTTGGAGTTTGTGCAAGTCCTATTGGTTCCTTTAATGTGATTCTTTCTGGCTTTCACTTAGAAGTTGATATCTTTTACCATTTTCTTCACATCTATTGTTCTAAACTCAGCATAATCTTACTAGGATATAGGTAACTTGCAAGTTCTGGGCCTTCATTCTTGAAATCTACCTGCATCACATCAGATGTCTTCAACAAACAAAAACAAACTCCTTACTGATTACTTTTTCAAAGTCTATACTCTGTTTTGGGCCTGTTACTAATTTATTATTTCCTAGCCAAAGGAAATGAGGACTGCTATGTCTCCAGAACTTCAGTTTAATGAATAATCAAACATTTCAGGGACTCAAGTAGCAAGTTATATTTATTTTCTAAATGTGCTCCTTCCTTTGCTTCATTCATTCTTTTTTCATAAGGATCTATTGTTCACATTTCTGTACCAGGCACTGGGCTTGATGCTGTGAGAGACGTAGACATATAACCAAATAATTATAGTACAGTCTTATAAATGCTGTTAACATGGTGTTATGTATAGAGTATAGGAGAAAGTAAATAAATTTGCCTGGGAAGGTCAAGAAAGACATGTTTTGATGATTTATAAAATGAGTGTGTGTATGCTTAGTCACTCAGTCGTGTTTGACTCTGAAACCTCATGGACTGTAGCCTGCCAGGCTCCTCTGCCATGGGGATTCTCCAGGCAAGAATACTGGAGTGGGTTGCTATGCCCTCCTCTAGTGGATCTTCCCAACCCAGGGATCAAACTCAGGTCTCCCTCATTACAGGCAGTTTCTTTACTGTCTGAACCATGGGATTCTTCATAACTCCATTATATCAATAATTTTGTGATAACAAAATTGCTTTAAGGATTCATTGAATGACAGCTGTGATTCCACCAAAGAAAACAGGACATTTTGTCACCAAGTATGTTCATTTATATATGTTAACTAAGTGGGATTCTCTGCCTCACCTCAAATACTGTTATTTCAGTTCCATAATATCTTTTTTTTAATTTTTAAATATTATGTGGTTAATCAACTTTGGGAATATAAGAACGTTATAGGCAAGTGCTGTCAGAAACACAGTGGAGTGAAAAGCTACCTTTGTCTTGCACCTTCAATCTACAAACCAGTAAAACATTCACAACACAATGAAGGTGCTTCTGCCTAACATGACAGGATGCTGAAAAATTCCATGCATCTATACATCTAAAGATGGTGGACTGGAACACATAGAGGAGATGGAACGAGGAAACAGCGGAGTTGATGCCTGCAGTCCCAGTTGTCTGACTGTGCCAGCTGAGCCCACAGCTTCAGAGAGCCCAATAGCAGCAGGGGAAGCAGCACACATGACCCTGGCTTTAGGAAGTGATCGCACTGGCACCCACCACCACAGGTAACTTGGTGGCAGCAGCAGCAATGGGACCTGGGGCCATATCTCTCCTGCCACTGAGGCACCTGTGATCCCAGACTCTGGCCCCTCCTTATTTGCACTGGTAAATTCAGTGAACCTGATAGCACCGGACACAGTAGAGGCACCTGTGCACCCAGCTTCCCCTCCCACACTGTTCCCCTTTCTCCACAGCAGAGCCTGTGTCTCAAGGGATCTCCCACACCAGAGAAGACCCCACCATCCCAGTAATGACAGCAGCTCTGGCAGAAGCAGTGAAGCAATGACCCTAGAGGAACAGGAAACAAAAGCAAAGACACAGAGGAAACATCTGGTAGAGGCTGGAAAGTGCCAACTTTCAAATATAACCAGAGGCAACTCAGGTAAGGAAAACCAAAAACTACCTAATACCGCCATCTACTGGAAGACAAAAGAAAATTGTATAACTCCCAACCTGGGATTTAATTGCAAATGTGCCAGCAGAGGAAGAATCCATCAAGCAAAATGACAATTCTTCAGAAACTAAAGTTAAATTCATGGAATTTTGAGATCTAACGGATAAAGAATTCAAAATAGACATCATGAAGAAGCTCAATGAGATAGAAGAAGACTTAGAAAGACAGTTTAATGAGGTCAGGAATAAAATTAGTGAACAGAAGGAATACTTTGCCAACCAGACTGAAACTCTAAAAATGAACCAAACAGAAATTCTTGAGCTGAGGAACACAATAAACAAGATGAAGAATGTATTAGAAAGTATTGTAAATGCAGCAGATGATATGGAAGACAGCATTAGTAAGCTCAAAGATAGAAACCTAGAAACGATACAAGTAGAAGAGCAAAGAAAAGTAAGATACATGTAAAAAGAAGAAATCATATGGGAGTTACACCACTCTTTTAGGAAAGACAGCACTAGAATAACGGGTATCCCAGAAGGAGAAGAGGAGAACAGAGAGATTATTTAAAGAAACAATAGCTGATATCTTCCCAAAATTGAGGAAGAAGCTGGACAATCAAGTCTATGAAGCAGTGAGAACACCTAATTAACTTAATTGCAAAAAAGACCTTTTCCAAGACACATTATATTAAAATTGTCAGAAGTTAATGATGAAGAATTTTAAAGGCAGCCAGGGGAAAAAAGGATGGTAACCTACAAAGGAATCCCTATTAAGCTATCAGCAGATT